TATTCGAAACTCTTCCGGCAAAACCTGCATCAACCCGAACAGCGCTTTTCCACGTTGGTTCCGGAAATAAGGTCGACTGCGACTTGAAAATATCGTCCAGCAAACTTGGGGCGTTTGTTGAACTCTTCGCAGCAACCTTTCAGGGAAAAAAAAAATTATCGATTATAAAATTATGACAACTGAAAAGTGATGAAGGAAGCCATTACCATTTGAGGTTCTTTGATTTCTGGTTTCGGGGAGGGAACATCAGGCTTGCTTGGGTCTTTCTCAAACGGATTCTGCAACTGAGATGCATCAGGACGCTGCGGGATTTCGTACTCTTCAAATTCGAGAGCAGCATGGAGTTCGGATTCATCTTCGGACACGAGTCTTCCTCCACTAGATGTCGCGTCACTCCGACGAGCCTGTCTCGCCTCTCTCTTCCTTCGGTTCTTGTCCCGCTTTTCCCACTGCTTTTCCGATTCTGTTTTCAGCGGCTGTTTTTGTTTTTTGGGTTCTCTGGAGATGTGGAATAAAAACATGTAAGAAATCTTGGATTTTGTAAACAAAACATTGTTATCCACGATTGCGAGAATTGTATTAAAAGAAACTTTCACTATTGCAGAAACATCTTTCCTAAAAGACCAATTATTCTTTATAAACTAATTTCTTGAGGACAATACGTGACGTCGAGAAGATTTTGTTCTTATGGCTGGGGTTGAAAATCATATCCCTAAGTAAGCTGCATACTCCATTTTTAGTGACTGAAAAACTGTGATGTTTCATAAGTAAGACATGCCAGAAGCTTAGTTTTTCCGTGAATCGAACCAACATAAATTCGATTAATTTTTTTTTAAATTTTGATATTTACGTTGAAATAGGTCCAAAATTCCCCATTAGAATCAAGTATCGAAGTTGCACCAAACCTTATAAATTTGTATGGATTTTATACCCACAGAAAAAATTAACCCAGCTTCTTTTTCTCTTAATTTTGAGAAATAGGTGCTCATGTTACTCAAGTAAGTAAAAATACAAACTTGTATTTTGTAAGAGAACTCATCACATTCATTAAAACCCAAGCCGTTATTTAGAAAACTAACTTTGACAAAACTAAATAAACAGAACGTTGCTGCGTTTTAAAACAATAGTGTACGTCACAAGTTTCATGAACATCATACACACCATTGAACAGATTAAAGGTCGAAAAACTGCGTAATTATACTTTGTTCCACTCATTCGACAAATGGATGCCATTAATACTCACGTCTGCTTTTTAAAATCGCAAAGAAGTTCCCTGGCGGCATATTTGAACCAGGCGTGTTTCCGGTCCAAGTTGGAAGTCCTTTTCGGGTTCAGAGGTTTGTCCACAAAAACCACCTTCAACCCCTCTTTCTCCACAACTTGCACAGGAATGTCTCGCAGTGAGGATTTGTGTGCCAGTGTCAAAAGCGCCTTGAAACTCGACGCAGTTAGGACGACATCTGGCCGAACGTAAGGAATGATCACCTGGGCATTCCGGTCTCGGGATGCAACTTCATTCGAAGCGAATTCTGTACCAGAAGAAATGATCTTTTAAATCTCGATATCATCAAAAATTCAAACAAACGGGGGCTCCGAAATGTGGACGAAATTGAAGCTTGGCCCTAGTCAAAACTTCCGCACTCATTCAACCAAAATATATTCAATTGGTTCTCCTCTTGATAAAAAATAAAATAATTATTCTCAACACAAAGAAAAAGAAAATAACTGCGCAAAAAAAAAACTTCTTGGTATGAAAAGGAGCAAGGACAAATCTCGCTATAAACTACACAG